TTTGAGTCTTGTCTACCCTTGGTTTGGATTGTGGTTCTTGTTCTGACCAAGGCTTCCTGAGACCGTAATTAAACACACGCTTAGCCCAAACCACTCTTGTTTTATTTCAACACTGGGAATTATGTTCATTCCCAGCCTGTAATGAGTCCCAAACAGTCTCTTGAGATAAGCACCCACCTTTATCTCCTTTGAATTGCTGCCAACAACTAAAGTGCCCAATGAACTAGAAAAAAACAACCGAAGTACAAAATCCACACAGAACTTCAAGGATTAATTTGAACAGAATGAACAACTTTGCTTCCTGCAAAGGTATTGTCATCTTTGCCTGACCTTTATCCCTTATGGGAGGGGCAATCACCTCCAAGCCTCACTCCCGAGTCGCCCCTTTTGTCTCAGCTGCTCTTGCCTTCTAGCAGCTCTGCGCACTGGGAACAGGCTCCCCTTGTTCCTCTACCTCGCTGCTGCCAGACTCCGGAGGCTCCGGAGTCAGCACCCCACTCCCAAATGGTCCTGGCCCCATCTCAGCATCAGAGGCAGGACCCTCGTCCGAGTCCTCTCCAGACTCCCTGACTGGTCCCTGTTCTTCCCCACTGTTCGATTCCGCTGCCGTCTGCACAAGCTGCCGGTGAACCACAACAGTTCTGCTTTTGAAGAGAAATTGGATGAGGCCAAATGGCAAACTGTTTTTGCCCCAGAATAGGAATGAAGAAAAAGGATTTACCATGTAGATGGGAAGGAGAAAGAAATATGGATCTAAGTCACTTATTAAACTTCATGAGAGTAATATTTTGAATTTTTACAGCTACTCAAGTGAATATGGAGATTCTCAATCATCCAGGTCATGCTACCCCAAATGTCCCCCCCCCCCCCCAAAAAAAAGGCACCTGGACTTTTTTTTTCCTTTAAAAACAGTTTGGGTCTCATCCAAAAAGCTTCTTCAGTTTTTTTCAGAAATATAGAAGTTTCTTGAATGAGAAGTGAAATATTTTCAAAGAGAGAAAAAAACTAAGTCCAATTGCCTTTTGGAAGAGCATCTTTGGGACACTCAAGTGAATGGCTGTGTTCTGAAATACATTATCATTCATAGGCAAGTAGCAAAGAAGATTCATCCACCCCAGAATCCATTGAAGGAAATAAAAGCCTGTTTATTCCTGGAAGGAAATGGTGATTGTGACAATCTTTTTGCCCTCGTTTGGCAAATGGTTTCTTCATTCTAATATTTTTTAAAAATCTTTTTAATGGGGGAGTTTTCTCCTCCTCACTGATTATAATCTATAAATAAGAGATTATTTATCATTTAACAAATTAATCTCTTTGGTTTGTTGCAACAGATAAAACAATATTATGAAGCTGAACCAGACCTGCTGCCCCCATTGAAATTAGAAAAATGCATCCTGGCTCAAAGAGATCAAATCTTCTTGCAGGAACCTTTGGTGAGAAAGAAAGAAAAAAGTGGGAGCATTCAGATAGTAGTTTTTTAAAAAAAAAACACTTGTTTAAAATGTGTATCTGAGTTTGCATTCTGAATCAACAAGAAGATATTGACCTATGTATTATATATATTAGCATATTTTATTCATTGAAGGCAAATGAAATGCAGCTTTTGAAAAAATATTTAAGGTTTGGCTGGCTTGAAGTGAGAAAAGGGCATTTTTCATTCATAGTTTAATGCCACGATTCCTTCAGGCTCACCTCCTGTGCTGTATTCAACATTGTTTGGCCTGGTATACGAATGTTTTAACTGCGCACCAGCAAGCTGAAGAAGATCAGGAGGACGAGGAGGATAGAAGCTTTCAGCAAGAATTGGATAGGATGTTGGAATCCATCACAAGACGAATGATCAAGAGCGAACTGGAAGATTTTGAGCTGGTAATTGATTCATTTGTTTATTTGTGACATTTCTATGCCACTCTACTCCAAACAGCTCTGTGCAATATGTAGAAAGAAACGGAGATTAAAAACAACAGTAACAATAGTATAAACAATGTAAACCGTAATGTGGAAAAGCAAATGGGAAAGAGATTGAGAGCCGTGGTGGTGCAGACGTTAGAATGCAGTACTGCAGGCTACTTCTGCTGACTGCCGGCTGTCAGCAGTTCGATTCTAACCAGCTCAAGATTGACTCAGCCTTCTATCCTTCCGAGCTGGCTAAAATGAGGAGCCAGATTGTTGGCAGGGAAAATTCTGACTCTGTAAACTGCTTAGAGAGTGCTGTAAAAGCACTGTGAAGCTGTATATAAGTCTAAGTGCTATTGCTATATAAACACTATGAAGCAGTATATAAGTGCTATTGCTATTCAGCAATTTACAAATATTAGAAGTGGCCTTTCTAATTTGCTTGCTTTTGAATGTTAGGATAAATCAGCAGACTTCTCTCAATCAACCGGAGTGGGCTTAAAGAACAACATCTATGCCATTTTAGTGATGGGGATCTGTGAGGTCTTGATTGAATACAACTTTAGTACAGGCAACTACAAGTAAGGAATTGAATTCTTACTTCTAAAGCTTCTGAGCTTTTGAGTTTATATATTTACCTTTGGTAATGTGTGTTGCAGTAAGAACAAGTTTGAAGATGTTTTGAGCCTATTCAAGTGCTACGCAAAACTTTGTGAAATCCTGAAAGAGAAAGTGGGAAAGAACAAACTCTCGTCAACAAGCAAAATTGCCCGAAGTTTCCTATCGATGGGCTTTGTGTGTACTTTACTTACAAGTCTCTTCAGGTAAAAAAAAAAAAAATTAAAGTACTGATCACTGTCTGCGTGTTTTGAAGAATCAAAAGCAGCCAACAGAAATGAGATGGACTAGAAATGGCACTAGAAGTACAGAAATGAGCTATAAAAGCCAGTAATAAACTCAGTCAACATCCATGGATTCAGACATGGCATTTGTATATTTTCATGAGGAGTGGTACGGTAGCCTAGAGGTGAAGTTCTTGCCTCACAATCAGTAGGCTGTGAGTTCGATCCTAGGTAGAGACAGATATTTCTCTCTTTGGGCACAAAGAATATATCTGCTGAACAAAACTCCGCATTGGTGACAGGAAGGGCATCCAGCCATTAAAAACACTTTACTGCCTCTATTCAGTTGCCCAGACTCCATGCCGCAAGGGATTATGGGATCATTAAAAGACGATGATTTGTATATTTTCATGCTCTCTCTCTCTCTCTCTCTGTGTTTTACTTACTCAGTCCAGAATTTTCTTCCAACCCATTAGGGACTGTGCCCAAAGCCATGAGGAGAGCCTGGCTGTTCTCCGCTCCAGCACTGAATTCATGCGCTATGCTGTCACTGTAGCATTGCAGAAAGTGCAACAATTGGATGAGACAGGGCAGACAGATGGGCCGGAGGGAGAGAACCCAGGGAAGATGTTCCAGTATCTTTGCAAAATCACTCGGTGAGTTAAAATGCTAAGTAGTCAAGAGGTGTCAGTATTTTAATACTGCTTTTTTTTTGTCTATAAGAGCTGCAGAAATAACATCTAATAGAATCTATATGCATTCTTACCTACTTTTAACAGCTTTTTTTCTTTTGGGAAACGGTATACAGAGTGCAGAAATGGAGTAAAAAATCGTAAGCCAAAAGAAAAATCAGGGTATGAAATAAGAAGAATGAAGGAAACATACTGTAGCTAAATTTGTGCTGCACACACACACACACACACACACACACACACACACACATTCCATGCACTTCTCTTCTTGTAAAAACTTCATTTTGATTTGATCTTACTGTTAAAGTTCCTTAAAGGCACCACAAGAAGAGTTTAAAGCAGTATTAAAGATGCATGGATGTTTGGTCTACCTGATCTAATTCTTGACTATCCTCCACTTCCTGTAGAGTCCTCCTTTGGAGATACACCTCAATCCCAACATCAGCAGAAGAATTTGGGAAGAAGGATAAAGGCAAAAGCATCTCGCTGTTATGCTTGGAAGGCCTACTGCGTATTTTTAACACAGTGCCACAACTTTATCCAACCAAAATCTCACAATTCCTCCAGGCTTTGGGTAATTTTGATTCGGCTTCGTTTCCTAACCCAAATTCTATCTCCAGGCGTCCTTTTCACACTGATTTCATGAATTTCTTTTCTGGCTTTTCACTTCTTCTTGGCTGCCATCTTTTCATTTCTCTTTGTTAGATATTGCAAATGAAGACGATGACGAAGCAGCAGCGGAGGTGAATGTCACTGAGAAAGCTGCCTTCCAGATTCGGCAGTTTCAGGTGAGCTTAAAGCATATGATGATGACCACTAAGCACTTCCAAGAAATTGGAGCATCACAAGTTTGACAATCAGACAGAAGTCTAATTTTGGAGCATTCTTGAGAAAAGATTCTGTAATAATTCCCAAGGTAATTTTCTCTAGAAAATCTTCCAAGTCCCCTAAACAAGAAATGGGACACTTGGTTCTCAAACCACTAATACCTCCTTCAGATGATTGTACCTTGTTTGTTGTGAGTTTCATCTTTTCCTTTTGCCTTTTTCAGAGATCACTAACAAACCTGCTCAGCAACATAGAAGAAGATTTCAACAGCAAGGAAGCTCTTCTGTTGATCAACATCCTTGTGATGCTCTCCAAACTGTTGGACCCTTCCTCATCCCAGGTATTTATTTGTTTGTGTGGCGGGGTTGTATCCTCTCTTTATTATTTCTACTAATAACTCAAGGTAGTGAACATATCTGATACAATTACCTCCTTGCTATGCTTTCCAGAATGGCAAGGAATTATTGAGTATTATAAAAGAACAATTGATTCATTCTAAAGTTTTTATTCTTTTAGTTGGTTCTTGACTTCAGTTTACACTGAAGTTAAGTTCTGTTTTCAGTTTTCTTGGTATATTTTATTGTCTAATCTATCTATCTATCTATCTATCTATCTATCTATCTATCTATCTATC